GGTGATATGAAAATGATCCTAACTGTGATAACGTCCTCCTCTTACATACAGTCGATATGTTTTTTCCGCCTCATGTCTTCTCTGTGATAAATGTATATCTTTTTAATGCATTGAAAACAATTTACTAGTTGGGTTAAGTTGCCAGATCACAGCGGGGTGCTTTTCCAAACATAAATCTCTTGGTGTTCGGCTTCGCCTCTCCCTGACTATTGAAACAGAAATAATATAAGAAATGGAGAAGAGTGGCTTTCTTTCAGCAGCGTAAACAAACTGACGCGATCGTAACTCAAAGACTGTCCAGGGAAAAAAAAATAAAACTTGAAAAAAAAAAAAAAAATCAAGGGCCATAAATAAATAATGGGTAGCTTTCACTTTGTTCCACCAACAGAAGTTTTCCTTCACAAGTGTGCTGCAGTAAATCACCGTGAAGAAGCAGGGGGTCCTCAGAGGCAGAGGACCAGGGAGAAAGCTTTGGGAGTGTGTGTTGTTGTATGCATGTGAAAAAGCCTGCACTAGTAACGTGGTCTGCCGATACGTATGTGTGTATGTGTGTGTGTTCTTAGGAAATCGGGGGCACTCTATGGGCAGTCTGATGGAGAGCTGAGAGATTAGGGAGGGTCTTGTTTCATGGACCTTAAGACATATGTTCTCTCTCTCAGTCCCCCCCCCCCCCCCCCCCCCCCCCTTTCTTTCATTGAACTATAAATGCCCCTCTACCTTGGGGAGTGGTGAGCCGTGGACGGAGGGGAGGTATGCGGGCCTTCCACTTGCTTTTCATTAACACAGGATCTGGTAACACACCTCACTGTCAACCTAATCCCCTCTCTCTCCATCTTGTCCCCTGGCAGAGGTGGGGTAGGGGGGCTGCCATGACCAGGTACAGAGCCCCAGATGTTCCCGGGATGAGGGAGGGGTAGATGACAGGGTCTTCACCCCGTTGCAGCTATGGATGTATGCTGATGAAGACAGGGTGGGGTGGGGTGAGCGTGATGACATATACTGAGGAGACCCCTGTTACTGCTCACACATAGTGGTCTTCTGTTTTTCCCCTCCTGTATTATATCTCTCTTTCTCCACCTCGCCTGCTTCCTTTATACAACGTTGTCTTTCCTACCGCTTCCGTTCTTGTATTGTATCCTCCTTTCTGCTTCATCTGCATTTTCTTCTGCATGTTCTTCTATATCCGACTTCTCCTTATCTCCCCTTGCGTTTCTCCCTTTATTTCCGTCTCCCTCTACTTCTCTATCTCCATCACCCTCCTGCTTCCTCATTCACAACTCCCTTTCCCTCTTCCTCCCCTCTACTGTTTTCTCCTTCCCGAGGTCCGCACAGGATCTGGTCCATCGATCTGAGCCTGCCCCCATAACACTGGCGGAGGAACAACAGCAGCAACAGTAGTGGTGCACACCGTAGCGGTAGTCCTGCTACATTCTCCTGTCTTACATCTCTCATGTACAGCCTCTCCCGGGGGGGTCATTCCCGCTGACTTATGGTGGCAGCTCAAACGCTTGACCTAACAGCACGAGAATCCTAACCTTTATCTTTGTGAAAAAAAAGAAAGAAAAGAAAATTCAGAGGTATTTGTTTTCTGAGGTGTACGGAGCCGACTGGAGGGGCCAGAGTGCTGAGTGATGGAGGCGGCACAGCTGAGGCTAAAAGTCAGCAGATACATCTATTGTCACCAGTGATCGGTCTAGGTAATTGGAGACAGTTTGTCTCCTTTCGACGGCAACAAATCTGGAAACACTATGTGAAGAAGCCCTCGGGGGAAAGTAGCCGTGTGTGTTGTGACAAAGATCTATAAGAGTGCTAAAGTTATCCAGAAAAAAAACCCCCTAACCCCGAAGAAACAACAGGGTGAGACAAACATGTTATTCAGCAGGATAACTTCTGACATCTGCTTTAAAAGTACCTTTTTCCTTTTGTGGGCTTCTGGTGCCATGTAAAAAGTTGTAATCCTGTGACACCACGAGACGTTTCAACATGCTCTCAAAGACATGAAATATCAGGGTCTATAATGAGATCTACACACAGGATCTGAAACCTCTCAGGTATTTCACAGAGCACTAAAATATGATATACGAGGAGCAGAATGAAACCTTAGATGCACATGATGACAGCATTAGTTTTACAGCAGTTATTATAACGTCTTGTTCAGAGCAGTCATACATGATATTGTGTTATTTTGGGCAATAACAACAAACAGTATTTTAAAGAGCGAACAGCCTAACTGGGGATAAATGATCCAATGGATGTCAATAAACACCAGTGGTCCTGAACCCAACATTTTTATTTGCGTCCAGTAAAATTGTAACGTCTTAAGGGTTTCAAGGTGCTGGGAACTGTAAGGGTAAACAATACCCATGAAAAGACATTCACTGCACACTAAGCAAACAAATCACAGAACTACTATTAATAACAAATCTCTTTTGAAACGTAGTTCTGTGTGCAAAGGAAGAGAAATCACAACACTCTGAGAAATAATGGTTCCAAAGAGGTTTTAATGTTCTACCCAGAACCATTTGACAGGTTGTTTTTCCAAGGGCACTTGTGACAGTGAGGGTCCATTAAGAACCCTTGTGATTTAAAGAAGCGTTTTGGGAGGAATGAGTTCTTCAAGGATAGTTGAAAGCATGGGCCTTGAAAGGGAACTCTCGCAATGCAGCCCACCCCCCAAAAATTATGATTGTGAACCATGATTGTTTACCACATCAGCCCGTCCTTTAGGGTTCTAGATAAAACCCTCCTTGGGTGGGTTCTAGATGACACCCTTGGAATATAAATGGGTTCTCGGTTAATCTCCCTGGATGGGTTCTCCATGAAACCCTTGGCCTATAAAAAGGTTTTCTCGTTCGAACGCCCTGGGTAGGATCTAAATGAAATCCTTGGAATATTAAACGGTTCTGTACCTCGTCATGGCATTAAAGAGTTCTCTGTAGAACCCTCGGGGGTGGGTTCTAGATGAAACTCTTGGAACATATAAGAGTTCTCGTTGAACCCCTGGGTGAAGACATTGGAATATAAAAGGGTTTCTGGAAGAACTCTTTGAGTGGGTTCTTGTGAACACCCTTAGAAGGTGGAAATGTTCTGGATTGAACTTTCACAGAAGGTTCTGGGTGGAACCATTACACCATTTAACGGTTCTTTGTATAACCTCTGATACACGGGTTTCTGGGAAAAACCTTTCACAGATGGTTATAGGTATAATCCTTTATGTTGGGTTCTAGTAGAACCCTACAAAAAGTGTTTTCTTATGAGCACTCTGAGTGTATAAATAGTAGACGCATCTGAAAGCAAAGTGAGCGGGAGGGGAGCTTTCATATTAGTTCAATTCTCTCTAAACTCTATTTATTTTTCCATTACACATACAGTTTCAACTGTGTTTATCGAAGTCAACACATCAAAGATGGATGAACACTGAAAAGCTGGTGAAAATCAGAGCAGGGCAGCAGCGCTGGCTATTGTGTCACTGTGCAGTTATGCAGATCTGAGTAAACAAAGTGCAAATTGTTTGAGGTTTTAATTAACATTTTCGACAATCATTTTATCTGAAGTAACCCAATATAACAACATCTGTCAAACAGATGCAGGCACTTAGGGAGCCCGGCTCCAGCTCTGTAACCCCAGTCAACAGGGGATGTGCTGCTCAGCGGTACCGAGGTACAAACCGTCTTCTCACATCATTGTGAGTGTTCCCTGTTATTTCCTTCACGTGGCATGTCAGCCCTCTCGCTCTCTTTTATCTCTCTCTTTCCATCTGCTGTCCAATTTGGAAGACGTGCCAAAACAATAGCAAAAGACTGAAACACAAATCAAAAAAAAAACATCCTTGATCATCTGTTACAGCGCGTCGGCTCACACCCAACGGCACAGAGGATTTGGAAGCTTTTTTGAATTTACATTAGCATTAGCAGTTCTGATTGTCTGAATGGAAACACTGCGATGCCTCCTGGATAATAGTCAGTGTGGATGATGAAGGCAGGGTTCGGTCCTAACACGAAAGCAAACATATCGCTCTCACACACATGCACACACACACACACACACACACACACACGACAACGTCTTTCTCTCTTAGTCTCACAACGCTTTAGATCCCAGACTAACACAAACAGCTCACTTTACAGTTTACTGACAAACCTTGTTTTTGGCAGAGGAGGGCTTTGCTAGCATGTGTAAAAAATAGCAATACTCCAAATAAAACAGGAAGCGGTATTTTGCTCCCAGTGTGAGTGACGGATCGTCCAAAGAGGCAGAGACATTGCACATTCTTTAACTAACAAGGGTGGGAAAGTTTGACTAAACTAGTCAGTGAGATACTGATCAATATGTATTCAGAATGGATTCATACAACCTGCTATTTAATTAAACTCATTCCTGAGGGAACATGTTACAACAGCTACATTCTGAATACATTTTTATCTGACTAACTTATAAAAGTGCGGTGAGCTCGGTAAAGCTCTTTAGAGTTTGTCCACATCATTATTTGTTTGGTTACACAATGACACAGAACAATTTGTCCTCCACTATATTCTCATATTGAATATTTTGGAGCTCCGTGTCTCTATACTTCATTTCCAAAGGGCCTGGATCGCTTCCCGTTGGCACTCATGGTGAGCTTGGGTACGGGGCAAATGACACACAAAAAAAAACATGTATATTTAGTGTAGTGCTTCACTGAGTCTTGTGGTTTCTTTAAAAGATGATGAAATCTGCCAAATGGGGTGAAGTCATCGCAGTTGTTTCCAATGTAGCTCCACCTGTTTCAAGAATTTCCTTGAAACAAGTGGCAATGTTTTGCAATGGACCACATCACTGGTTCATTTTCACATTAAGAGAAATATAATAATAAAGTAAGTCATTTAAGGTCCAGGCCCTTGTTGCTTTGGATTGAGACAACTCGGGTCATTTACTGAGCTCAGAGAAGTCTTAGCAGGGGGTTGGAGAAAATAAAATTATTTTATGCCCACGTAAGCTCATATTGTTTTTCTGTTACTCACCTTCTATCCTCGGCCCTGATTTCATGTTTAGGCTTCCCGTCATGGCCGACACCGTTACCGTCACGCTGGGCCTCATTGGATGGGCCTCCGTCTCCATGACGACTACAATCTGGGCGGTGTGGAGGGAGACCTTGTGGAAGGACAGCGCCAGGGCCCCGACGCTGCTGGCTTTACCCGGGGCAGAGGCCTGATGGTGAGGCTCCGAGCGCGAGGGAAAGGCCCTGGGCGTCTTTGTGGGGGAGGAGTGGGGGGTGGAGGGGGCAGACATGGGTTTACCGGAGACGTCCCACGTGTGGTTTGGGAGCACTTTCTTCAGGTAGGCTTTGGCCTGCTCCAGCTTCGCCAGCGTGGGGTTAACTTTCAGAGGGCGTGACAGTTCCACATTCAGCTCAGCTGTGGAGGGAGATAGAAAGAAAAGGAGGGAAAGGAAAAGATAAGTACAACAAAGAGACAAAATATAATTCTGTTGGTATTTTTAAACTGTGCTGCCGACAAAACTTTAGAAACGACAACTTCCCTTTATGGACAGTTTATTGGGGAGTATCTCTTGAGCTCATCCAGACTTATATTTACTACTGAGTGATCAATAGTGCAGGAAGTAGAGAGAGAGAGAGAGAGAGCAATGCTTTTGGGAAACTTTGAAACCCAGGACCAAAACTGAATAAATCCACTGTTGGCTTTGGGCCCTTGCTCTTTAAATCTTTCTCTTGTCATTTGGAAAGTCCACCATAAACAGGACACACTACATTTTTCAGTGTCCCACTGAGCAAGATCTGTTGCTATCTAAGTCTTGGAATACCGCCTGATGCCATGTCTCGTGAATCAAACTGAACCATTTTCTCCTCTTCTAATCACCCAGCTTTGCATGCAAGGACCTGTTAAAGAACAGCTGCGTACAATCCCACTCTCTTTCTCCTCGTCTCATGTGCACATATACACACAATTACTGGCTGTCTCACTGTGACATCCTAACGTGACACCGCGGAATAGCAGAGGAGAATCTCTTCTTCATGCCAGCCGCATAAAATCTCTCTCACTCTCTCTCTCTCTGCAGCCTTCAAACACTTGACTGGAAGTTACAGAGACACATGAATTAACTCAATGCCGTTTTACACCACTTCCATTATCCCATTTTTCCACTTGGTCATGATGATGGGAGAAGGGAAGCGGCCCTGAAAAACAAGCGCAGCTGTTCTTCATGGTCTCATCAAGGCACCAGTGTTTAGAGGGTTTGTAGGCCTCCCGTCTGTCTCCTCCCCAGGTAGGAGCGCTGGATGACACGAGCGGGAACGCTGCCAGGAGAGACCAGCGAGCGAGCGAGCGAGCACACACACACACACACACACACACACACACATACACACACACACACAGCCCTCAGGCTTGTCTCTACTTTAATCCAGTGGAAGTGAGGCACACGGTCAAATGGAAGGACGACTGGAGAGAGGAATTGGAGGAAAGATAGGTGGAATTTGCTGTGCAATGTAGCTTATCATTTCCACTTGACTTATCACCAGGAAACTTTCCAGTGGTGGAAGAAATAGCCCACATGCAGCGGTTCATCCAGGTTCCCTACCCCCCCCCCCCCCGCCTTCCCCTACGTCTTTCATTTTCTCCCTCTGTTTCATGTAGCCCATCCTTCTGCTTCTTTTCTCAGTAATTTCTATCTTTTACTCTTCCTCTATCCCTCAATCTATCAACCCCTCCTCCCTCTTTGTAATCACACAAAGCTGTCTCTGATTCACCCAGTCAGGGCCAGCGCCGGGGCCTTGCCTGGCTCTCTGCACAGTGGGACCTGGTCCTCATTATCGATTGTCCTCCGTCCCGACCCGAGGTCCCTCTCTTCCCCAGCCATGAGAAACCCATCCTACCCCCAATGCCCAGCCAGTAAGGGAGGGGTCTCAAACTCATTTTCACTCCGGGCCACATCAGCATCACGGTCGCCCTCAAAGAGCCGGTTGTAAATGTAACTACTCCTAACATATTGTTAAATAACTCTCTGCATTTGATTATTGTTTATTCAAGTGTAAAAATATTGTACATGCAGTTATATAAATGTAAAACTATATTTAAGCACATCTGTTATTATAACTTAAATCCTTTTAATTTAGTGTTAAGAAACCCACATTACTCTATCAAAGATCAAACTATTAAAGAAAATATCAAAGACAAGTTATTACAATAACTTTCTTCAATGCTTAAAATCCTTTCAAGGGTGCGTTTGCACAATCCCACCTGAAGTACTTCATGTGTTGTAAAGTCACGTTTAAAGTAGTCTTCAATGTACTCACAATACATTTCCATTTGAAGTGTACAGTAACCAGTCAAAGAGCTGCTTCTATGACTGTGTGTTTAAGTATCTCATCATTTTGACTTTCTATCTCAGAATTATAACTTTCTATCATAGTTATGACTTTCTATCTCATAATTTCGACTATGTGGATATTTTTATTATCAAGTCTAACTTTCAAATTTTTTTTTTTTTTTGCTGGCGGATTCGCGGGCCACATAAAATGACGTGGCGGGCCGGATACGGCCTTGAGTTTCAGACCCCTGCAGTAAGGGATTCATTACCCGTTTGTTCAGAAACTCACCTGGTCTGGAGTGAGCAGTGTGATTGATGCAGCTAGCTATATCCTACATGCTTCATTTTTCCTTGATATGGAACATAAATGATGAGTAAAAAGTCTGATGTGGTTGCCTGGCATTGTGCAGATTCCCATATGCACATCACACATAGCTGTGACATGTATTTGAAGGAACCTAAAACACAAAGTCAGGACCTTATCTGGACACAGCTGGAGTTGTCTCCTGTGAATTGAGCGACCACATACAGCTTTCAGCATTCAGCAATGACTTCTTGCAAACTGCACATCATGCAGGTCAGGATATTACAATTTCCTTCAAAAAGGATTTATGTTTGTTGGCCAAAACTGTTTTCACTGATAATATTTATGATCAATGGGAAAGGGAATTAAGTACAGCATGCAGCTTATTTATTAGTTGCATCCCATTAAATGACTTGAGACATGCAACATACTGCAGTTCAGCTGACTGATACACTTTTTTGACAGATCAGTAAAAGGAAAATCTACTTTGTCAAAGGACATCAGGATGAAGTGCATCTGACTTAGTTGATCTAAGCTGTGTGAACTCAGGGAGAAACTCTCCATAGAGGACCGTGGAGAGGGAACAGCATCTGTACATGCTTCCCCCCTGGCTTTATCCAGCAACCGACGGAGCGCATTTTTACTGCCAAAAGATGAATCTCTCACAGAAGTCCAATAAACTCACATCCCAGCAGTATGTGTCTTTGAGTCGAGTGCATCTGTGTCGTTTCCCCTACGTTTACTTGTTTCTCCTGAGCTGTGTGTGTCCGAGACAGACTATGCAGTGGCGCTCCGTGCGGTTTCACTATCCAGGCGAAGACGGCATAAAACCAGGAAATTAAAACCTCAGCCAAAAACAAAAATAAACAAAAAAAATCTATTAAAAAGCCATGATAGTCTTATACGATTTACAGACTGAACTACAAATAAATCCTATATTTATGGATTCAGATGTGACGCAGCATTATGATGAAGACCTATGAAACACTGTTACGCAACGCTTCTTTCAGAAGTGCCTCTTGTGCTTTCGGAGGAAATATCAGTTATTGAAAGCGCGGTGGCACTTTCATCGGGGAGTATAAAGAGGACTTTTCCAGCACATACGAGACTTTTTATTGGGAACACCATGGCTTCAGCCATAAGACTACTGGCTGCTTTTATCTGGAGAGTAAAGTTCCTGCGCACGGAGCAAAGCATCAAGCCTAGAGGTTGAGAGGTGGTGTCGGTGCTCACATACCTTTTAAAGAACAGAACTTAATGTGAACAGGCTGGGGGGAATCATAGGCCGGCCCTTCTCAGGTGTCAGCCTCTATTAGCGCTGGAGAAAGTGGAAGATCAAGGTCTGACAAAGGCGCACACACACACACACACACACACAGATCAAATATGCTTATTACCCAGGTTGCCATGCCTCTTTTCTGGCAAGGTCATGCATGACGCCGTCCCCACTTTGAACCTGGCGTTGGGGTTGTGCGTATGCGCAGCTCGCCGCGAACATTGTTTTCATTCCCACCCCACCTTTGATTTCTGGAGCTGACTTCTACGCTTAACTCTCGACAAGAAGAAAGCCTGCATCTGACAAAGGTGGTAATGTGTCCAATTACACAGGGTCCGCATGTGAAGGGTATGCGTGTACATCTGTGTTTGTAAGGGCCAACCTTTTCTTCTTTGGAGTGGGTATCTGTAGAATCCTACTTTCACAGAAAAAAAAAGAAAAAGCCTCATACCGAGTGAGGCCAGTGACACGTGCCTCAGATAGCATCTGACTCGAATTAGAGTGGTTCTGGATGGTTCGGAGGGGCACAGGCTTGTATACAGTAACTGACAACATTTCTGCGAGCCCATGGCTTGACGGGAACCAGGGACGCGGGAGAGTAATGGTTCCAATTTGTTCTAGCTAATCTATCACCTGTTGCTTCTCCCGTCTCCAAGTGGTAGCAGTTACATCTCTGGACTCGCTCACTACTCGCTCACTGACCCTCTCAAAGACTGCAGCTGAGTAGGGAAGATGAGAGGGGGGAAAGTGTATGTGTGTTGTGTGCTGGCATGTTAATCCCTGAACCAACGATGCTCCGTAACAAAGATGAAGCTCTGCCAACGCTTTGAAATAGCAGACACTCCCTGTCCCCCGAGGTCATGGGCTGTTCGCCTCTCCCTCCCATCCCCCTACCTCGTTTGGAAGTATTGTGAACTTTATGATCTATATCATAATGTAGTATTGACCAATCACGTTGAAGTTTCTTTTGGTTGAATGCAGGTAAACAGTTTGTGTGGAGAGATAAAGAGTCGCAGCGCATCGGCCAAAGCGCAATCTGGGAACCGACCGGCTATCGTCTCACGATGATTTCGCTTTTTATTGGTTTAAAATGAGTTTGTAAACTTGGGAAACAATCAGGTCGTACACGTCGCCTCTCAACTCCAACTCGAGTCTTGCATCTGAAGTTGCTAATCAGACTGTAAACAACGAGCAGCCCTTGGAAAAAGGAAGTCTTGGCCCCGAAATCCGCTAGCTATACCGAAACCCCAGAAATGTAGACCCTTGCCCCCAGAGGCTTATCAGTACCGACCGATAGCCAATTGGTTACAAGATTGGATGAAATTAGAATGAGTTGTATTTGTACAATCTATTTATATTTCCTTTTGCTAACAACAGGTATTTACACACCTAACTGCTGATAGCATATTTCATTACAAAAATGTGTTAGTGAGGGCATTCGCTAACGTTAGCTCCCAGATCTCACGAGTGTGTTGCTGAAACAGAGAAAGGTCTTGAAACTAAATAAAATGTATTGATTTGTGTGTATTATGTAGTTATATTTTATTTTGTTAAGACTAGATATTTGCACAGCAAACAGCCATATTTAGCATCGCAGAAATCTCAGCGAGAGTGTTTTGCTGAGACACACTAAGGTCTCGAGCTAATTAAATTGTGTCCTGATTTGTGTGTTGAAAAATGCCATATTAGTGTCAGAATGTTCGGCAGATATATGGCTTGTGAAATATGGGTCTGATATTTACTTTGGTGACTATGGGGCGTAAGATTCGGTCATAACTTATGTTCACGCTCAATACTCCCTTTGGAGTTATTAAAGTCGGGGGCCTGCTGCGGGGCAGTAGCCAAACCCACGTGACACAGATACAGGAAACTGAGTCTCAATGGGCCGTCTCCCTTCAGAAGCGTCTCTGACTGAACCCTGCTCATGTTGAAAAAAAAAAACATCCCGGCGTTTTATCATGTATGTGTTTGCCGGTCAAGCCTTGAACCCTCCCGGTTTACAAATGTGGCTTCCTGTATGTATCTGCATTAGCAGTGTTTATACACACGTGTGTGTGTGTGTGTGTGTGTGTGTGTGTGTGTGTGTGTGTGTGTGTGTGTGTGTGATGAGCGGCTGCTGAGTGAGGGTCAGCTCTGAAACACCATCCAGCTTACAGTACACATGTTACAAGTGTTTCCCACTCGGCATCCTTGGGAGGGCAGCTCTGATTGGTTTGCTGAAATTGCGAGCACATTGCCATAAACACGCAGCGAGACGTGGCCTCGCGGCGGTCTGCTCTCCGTTTGCGCCTCGTTGGAACAAATCAAATGTGAAGCACTGTCGAATCAAAGCGGGGCCGCCAGACATGATACACATCGCAAGACACAACACACATAGCGACAGACACTTGTAAAGTCTTGCACGTGCAAATGAGCCGTCTGTGAAAACCCCAGGGAATTGATGCACTTCTTCCCCCCTGATCCTGTCTTCATCGATACTCCCTGCATCCTTCCTTTGCACCTCTTTTTGTTTCATATTCAAATGAGGTGAATCCAAACAATTAAACTCGACTGAGGCATCAAGACATTTACTGAACTGTCTTGTGACTGATGCTTCCGTTCAGGTTCAAACAACAGGCATTACTGTACTCCACACAAAAGTTAGCATCCGTTCACTGATTCTTTGTAATGTATTCCTTTGCTCCCCCATCCCTGGAGAGGATAATTATCTCCACCAGAGAGTCATCTAACCAAACAACAAAATGTGTGTGTGTGTATGCCTGTGAGGGGGGAACCAGTAGCATGTGTGGTCAATTCCAGATATTTCCAGCACAGCCTGACCCGGGGCAACCTCACACTGAGCCTGGATCCTGTCTGAGTCATGTGGGAGCACGTTGTTTCACGTGCGTGCGCATGCAGGAGGAGGATGAATGTGAGTGATTGTGATCGAAAGTTGTGCGGACGGCTCCGCTCTCGCCCGGTTCAAGGGGAAACACCTGACATACGTCGACATCTGCGCTTTCAACCATAACACCGCAGTCAGACGGCGTAATGTAATAGAGATACGACAGGCTGTGACCCTGTTCTGTGAAACATCCTGTTAATAAAACCCCATTAAGTTGTAAAATGTAATGCAATTTCTGATAGATAAATACACAAAGTGAAGCTGAATCTATTTCAATATTTATTTAACCTTTGGAAACAATACTACATCTGCTGCTGTTCTTCCTTCTTGCTCTTCTCCACAGGGAGATCAGAGGTCAGCGCAGTACAGACTCTCTATGTTGAGGGACGGTTTCTCTTTACTCGCTACATCAACCTCCCGCGCCAGACAGGAATCCTATTTACCATACAAGCTCAAAACACGACTGATGTAATTCGTGCCTCGTGGAAAGGTCGTGCATGCTGTAACTCGACTGCTGCTGCCATCTGGAATGAGCGGAGGGGTAGGAGGACGTCGGTGGTGGTGTGCGGCTGTGTTGTGTGTTTGCAGAGGGCCCGCATTGTGTCGTGTGATTCCAGGTGGACGGAGAAGCTGGGGCTCTCTTCCGCCAGCAGCAGGAAGGGATTGGGAGTCATCATCAATAACACCTACGGTTTGGCCCCGAGCTCCATTTTTTGTGTGGACATGCACAGTATGTGCTCTTGATTGTATGCACGTGGAGAGAAGACGGACTATATGTCAAGAGTGTGTGTCCGCAGCATCTGCAGCATCTGACCCGCTGGGCTCGGGGAGCTGAACTCTGAAGGATGTCCTGCGCCTACGCACCCTTTCCTCGAAGACCCTCACAGGAATCACAAGGTTGCACACACTCAAAAGCCCACTCCATGCTTTGATTCACTGTTGTAGTATTTGGGTAGGATGTGAGCCACACCCTTGGGTCAACAACCTTAGCTTAAAGCTGCTCATATGGATATCATATCAGTCTAAAAATAGACAACCAAACCCTGCGAAAGGCCAATCCACAGGACGTTACACAGGAGGGTGTGTTATCAGTGGCCCACGGTAGAAAACAATGACACTGCTCATCATGTGCCCACACAGCTACTTTGATCAGTGTGTATGCGTGTGTGTGTGTGTTTTAATGCGTGTGTGCTCGTCTTGCTGCTGTACAGCATTTCCCCCTGAAAACAGTATTAAACGTGAAACGGATGCTTTAGAAATAGTAAAAGAGCGTGTTAGCGTCAGCGCACGGGGCGGCATGTGTTGAACAATGTGTGTTTGAGTGTGCGCGATCCCCACCCGGTCCATTGAGGAAATCTTTGATCTGGAGGCAGAGCAGAGGTGGAGGGATGCCCGTTTTAATGTCTGACTCTCCTGCTACCGTCTGCAGCCAAAACACGTTGTAGTCCAGAGACTCTGGCAGAGTCTTTCCTGGGTCTGGATGAAGGATGAGGAGATTGAGAAAGAGAACAGGTCTGATAAGAGATGGCCTCAACATATTTAACATTTAAATATCATATTTGCTTGTCTGATAGTCTTCCTTTGAGAGTATAAAGGTGTTCATTCCCTGTACTTTAAATAGGGTCTATATCTATCAGAAATCAGAAGATCTAAATCCCACCCTTTACTCTAAACACACCCCTTTCGCACCACCCACCCCGCCCCCCCCGATCTCTCTTACCTAGGCACTTATAGTCAGAGGCCACTCCTCTTAAGGCCACGTCGAACACAGAAAGCTCCATCCTCTGCTTGCGGTGGTGGCAGCTGAGCAGGGCCGAGGGTTGCATCACCTGGATGTAGAGGAGGGGCTCCAGCACCTGGTCCCCGACCCCTCTCCTCCCCGGCTGCCTCACTATGGTCACGCCCAGCGCTTGGCGGGCCGAGGAGCGGCTGGGAGTCGGCAGGCCGCCCAGGGACAGCAGGCCGCCCTTCGCCAGTGGAGAGGCCGGCCGGGAGTTGTTGCTGTTGAGGATGTCCTCGGCGGTGAGGCCGGCGAGGGAATCCTGGGCAGCCGGAGGTGGGTCTGGAGCGGGGGAGGCTGAGACGGGAGGAGACTCGGGCGGGACCTCAGGCTGGTTGAGAGCACTCTTTCCCACCTATGGTAGATGCAGAGATTAGTTTAGTTTAGTGTCAAACCTCAATTTCCACAAAATGCAATAATTTAAGGCACTGATTCAACGAGATGCTGGGAACATTACTAATGTTTCGGTCCACCGTAACTCGCCAGCGTCAGTTTACACAGATCTTATCCACACACATCCACTGAACTAGCTGTTTACCAAAACATGATGTGCCAAATCAAACGGCCACTCAGTGTAGAAGTGAGCAAATAGACATTCTTATTACCAAGAATGAAAACCTGAGAGTTCTAAATGCCTGTGACAAGTGTGTGTTTGTGGGACAGTGTTGAGTCGGTGCCCAGAAGTCTTTCACTTACATATCAGCCTGGATCAAATTACCCCTAAAATGAGTGCAAAGAGCAGCTCTTTAATACACATTATACATATATATTTGAAGTCTTTCGTCGGCTAGATGGGCAGTCACAGATTGAATTAACGAACCGTACAGCAAAAGCATAAAACACGTCATTGTGTTGGATTAAATTCAGTTATATGAATGTGGACTGCATGAAATTCCTCTCATAAACCATATAAAGTGATTTCAAATTGCAAAGTTGATTTGAAAACTGTGCAATATGATTCCTTTGTACTTCTACACCACTGCAATGCTCACATATATGACACATATTGCTATTGTGTAAAAAATATGCACATATGGAAAAGTGACAAATCCAGGAGGTGACACACGAGAGAGCCTCCATGTCAGGGGCTTGTGGTCTACCTTGTCCCCAGGCTCCCTCTGCTCCGGTGTGCTGGGTGTGTCCAACGACGAGGGAAGGGCCTTAGGGGCACTGGAGCATGCGTAGGTCATAACGGACAGCTTGCCGGCTGTGAGGAAGACATCAAAAGGGATGAAGCTGAGGTTCTTGGTGATGGTGGACTTGCGGGAGGGCCGGGCGATGCGGTGGTGGCTGGCCCCGCTCTGCTGCTCTATCTGGACGATGCGGATGCGGGCGCTGTCGCTGCCGAAGCCACTGTCCTGCCCGGTCCCGCTGTGGCGCGACGAAGAGTCGGCACAAGCCGCGGGGTCGCGGCGGCCCCGCTTCTGCTCGCATCGACGCACCTGTGCACAGAGATGAGAGAGGTATGGCTGGGTTCACAGTTTTCCTGCTTTATGAGCAAATGTTGGTTTTAAAGAACAATAATGAAATTAAAAAAGAAGGTAAAAATGTGTAACTTGCACCTAATGTTTGCACTATTTAGTATTCTAAGTGCTGCCCAATGCAGTTTGCACACATCTGCTCTGTTTTGATTTCAGTTTTTTCCATCTAGATACAGTTAGACAGAAGATGATGTGAGGTGCACACACAAACAGCAGTTATTACATTATATCAGTAAAAGACATCATTTGCAAAAAGTAGAAGTTAAAAAACTACGAACAATACCTTCCCCAAATACATGTATTTAGGGGAGATAAAGAAGACTCTAAACATGTGCAAAAGCTTGATTTGCATTAAAACAAAGTGCATTACCTCAAACCAAACCAAGATGCTGTGTAGGAATCGCAGCATCAAATATAAATAGATGAGAGCATCTTTTTTTGTTTTCTTGTTTAAATCCTGACATTACAAGAGGACACAAACCAAATAACTGGCTTGATTAAAACCATGGACCAATTCACCAAAGAAGGGGATGATCGAATAGCCACAGAGACATTAAAGGCACGCTCTGGGGCTTTTTCCACGGCCTTAAAATCATTTTGCACTTCTTGCAAATATTGGAAATGTCTTTTAAAAAAAAGGGCCTGTTCCATTCAGCGACTGTGGTATTGTGTCTAAGGGGGCCGGGGCTTTATGCTCGGCTCCGACTGACGGTTGTCGGGAGAGTTCCAGCCGCCGTGGCAATAAAAAGCTTTCAGTGACAGAAGATATAAATCAACCGAGTAGGTTGCTGGGTTTGGAGCGACAATGAAAACAGGCATCTTTACTCTGCTACCAAAGCATGCCATCTTCAAGACTATAAAGAAGCCACCAGTGGCTCCCAGGGGACGGGAACGAGACAAACACATAAAACTACCTACCAAATAATAAATGACTGCACGTGTTTATATAGAACTGACATGTGTGGGCACAAAAAAAATAATGGAATAAACATAAGCGTTTACAAAAATGGGCATGGAATACATTTTTGTAGATGCTGAGAATAAAAACACTTCCCACAAAAAGGACTCCCTTTTCTTCTCAGAAAGTAAACATGGAGAAAACCAAAAGGCAAAGAGGGCAAACGATCAAGGTCCTTTCAGTTTACTCAACTGTGTCATTGCAATGAAGCTTCCCTCTTATAGCTGCAGGTTTGTCAGGTGCATCGTGAAGAGACCCAGGCCTATCAATCATCATCATTTCCACCAACATGTCAGTTATTGAGGCCTTTCTCCTCCCATGTTTCCCATTCATGTTAACGGCCACATCAGTTCCCATTAGCTACTGCTGACTTTTGAAACACGACTGAGATAAATTGAAAATAGAGGAGACATACGAAAAAGAGAGCTTTCAAAAGACCCAAGGTATGTCCCCTCCTCTCCCTCCGACCTGCACATGGTTGCTATTACAGCATGGACCCTCAGCCCCCCCCCCCCCCCTTCTCTCTCTATACATCGCTCCCTCCCACCCGCTCCATGAGAATTTTAAATGTATATTATTGCTGTGGCGGAGATAGTGTTTCAAGACCTCCAGGCAAATACTAAACCCACTGGCAGCACATTAGACAGAATACTTGACTTATTAGATATTTCCTATTCTAAACAGTGTCATCAAAGGCTAAGAACAAGAGCCATATAAAACACTGCGGCATGCCCGCCCGCCTGTTCTGCTCTGTTCTGTTGGTCCGGGGCTCATGTGTGGGGCTGCTATAGGATCGGCTAATAAGGACAGGATGTGTGCACTTCTTTCCTGCAAAAATGAAAGATTTTCCAAGCAATGGGGAGGGGAGAGACACAGAAACAGGGCCCGGGACTCCTCTCCATGTGTGTTGCGTTAAGCGGGTGCTGAGGTAAGGAGGTATTTGCAAAAGGTATTCACAAAAAAAGGCAAAATGTCCACTCTGAAGAGCGCACCCGCGTCTGAGGGGACAAATAAGCTGCACGGCAGCTGGGGAGAGAGTGAGCGGCCAGGAGGAGCTGCCAGCTCCGTCTCTCTTCCCAAGCTCAGGCCGTACACATGCATTTACAATTACAGCAAATACTCCGTCTTCTCTTTAACCGCCACTACTAAGAGAGTGCCCCCTAAGCAAATTCTTGGTCTATATTTAGATGTGCTTACAAGTGGAATAACGGATAATGGGGAACACAACTGGAGGAAAAGAAACAATGAGAATACAGCATACCATTCCTATAGTTTGAATCAATGCATGCAATCGCAAACATTTCGGCGTAAACACACATGAAGACGGTTGCTTTCCCAGGCTTTAATCTCAGCTGCACTTTTAAAAACTGGATTACTTCCTGGAGCTCAGTTGAAAAAGAGAGCAGGTACACACAGAAAACATAAACCGACGGCTCTGCAGTCTACACGCTTTAACCTCTCGCCAATTTATTCATTGACAGGGGGTAATAAATTTAGAATACAAACATGCACTGTAGCTGTGGGGCCTGGTCCCAGCTGAAATCCCCCTTATCCAACCATTACTTTATATTATTATATTATGGCTTCACTCAAGCACTGTTTCCAGATCCCAACGCAATCTCTCTCTGACCTTCGTGATTATGCGAGCGAGCGAGCGAGCG